CATCATCCTTTATGTTGGCCCTCACATAGTAGTTTCTTCCTTTGTCTGGATCCTCTGGTTCTCAATCAGACATTTCCCTCAGAGTACACACCTTGTATGTCCATTTGTTAATCTGATAAGCAGCATATGAGGAGGACAGTTTTATTTCTTCCTGGAACCTGCATGTTTTGTGGTCATTACTTTCTTTTTTATATATTTTTACAGTAGGCCACAAATGGCAACCATAGTAAATTCAACACGCCAAACAAAGCGTAAAACATATGGCAAATATGGTTGTTTCCACATGGCAATTGTAGTTCATTTTATATGGCAGGCAAAGTGTGACCCACATGGCAATTGTTCTGGTATCTTACATTTTTTGCACATGTCAAACTAGCAATTGTACATGGCATATTATAGTAGGTCAAACCTGGCAATTATAGTAAACTCGACATGGAAAACAAAGTGTGGTACACATGGCAATTATGGTTGTTTCAACATGGCAACTGTAGCAAATTTTCACATGGCAAACATAATTTATTCTACATGGCAATTTTCTTGCATTCCACATGGCAATTACAATACATTCCACATGGCAACTACAGTACATTCAAGATGGCAAACAAAGTGCAAAACACAGGGTAACTATGATTTGTTCTCCAATTGGCAATTGTAGTTCATTTTCAGCATGCATACATAGTTCAATCTATATGGCAGCTACATTCCATTACACATGGCAAACATATTTGTTATTTGTGTTACTTTGCAAAACATAGCATGTACCATGGTTCTTGCTTTTTCCTAGCCCTTTTTTTAATAAGTATGATGGTGAATGCATTCTGCAATACACGTCAACTACTTTTGTACGCGCATACACTTACCTGAAAAAGATTTTGTTCGTGTATATTTTGCTCATCTGCCTCTCCATCGGTTTGTACGTCAGGAAATTAGGTTGCTTAAGTGTTATGTTCGCTTCTTGCTGCAGCTCCGCAACCAGTATTTTTTGCTGCAAAGCTATATGTTGCTTGGCAAACTGTAGCAATGAGTTGCCAGGGCTCATGTAACGCTTCAAAACAGCATTGAAACCTTCAATGTGTTGCTTAGTTTGTAGAAATAGAAGCAGTGCATAAAGAAGGATGGCACCCAGTACTTCCGCTTCTCCCACTGGCTTTGAAGGGTTTCGTTGTCTTGAACTTGGTATTTTTTAATCATGGACATCCAGCTCCATTCAAACTCTTCCACTGTCAAGTTGTAGTCCACACACAACTCGAATGCCTTATGTAGATCTTGACGGTCAGCAAAGAACGGTCTCAGAGTCTCTTCTGCCTTCCTTATAATATGCCACATGCAGTGCCTATGCACTGCAAGGGGAAATACTTCCTTGATGCCTCCACCAATGCTAAAGTCTTGATCCGTTATTATGTTCATTGGAGCAAGTCCATCCATGCACTCCAAGAAGGTTTTGAACAGCTACATGTAGCCATCATTGTCTTCGTTCCATACAAGGCTGCAACCAAATTGCAAGGACTTGTTGTGGTTGTTTATGCCTATGAATGGAGCACATGGCATCTTGTACATATTCATGAGATATGTCGCATCGAAAGAAATGCAGTCACGAAATTGTAGGCTCCCCGCGCTGCACCATCCACTCAGTACATCTTTTTGACACGGTCCTCATCGTCGAGTCTTATTCTGTAGAAGAAATAGGGATCCTCCTTCTCTTTCTCTTTGAAGTAGGCAATGTTGTCTTCTACGTCAGCTAACTTGCTTTCTCTGCGATACTTTGCCTTCAGGTATGTGAGATCTGCTGGTAGGTAGGGCAAGCTACTCATTTTTTCATCTTTGCTATGGATGAGGGACAGTATCTAGACCATTCTTGCAGTATTGACATTGGAATCATGCAGCAATTTTATAAACTGCTTCTCCTAGGGGTTGAATCCTCAGTGGGCGCTCATAAATTTTACCAGGTCAAACGTCTTAATCATCTCATAATTGTGATCGTCGACAAACTCTTTGACAATGCACCAAGCTCCTTCCATGTTGAGCCTCATTCTGGCACGGCATCCCGTCTTCAAAACGACGCCTCTTCTGCGATCTGGTACGACTGGCCCATCAGCCTTGAATTTCTTATTCTTTATCGCCTTGTAGCATCTCAGCTCACCTCTGTTGTACTCCCCGGTTGTTTCTAGTTTCCTATGGTATTCCGTGTTTACCGTGAAGCCATTGAATTTTGCATTACTCTGATACTCCCTCCATTTTTATATACAAGGCCATAATCAAAATTACAATTTGCAACTATGCAAGGCCACAAACACTAATCGAGACAAAATTGATGGTGTTTGTCTCGTACTAGCAAAGGAGGACATTAATTATCCCTTGCATGTGCCTCATTAATCAACCAAAAGGAGTGAGAGCATTGCCTTGTTGTAGGTGGGACAGAAAAATATGCATTAATTAACACGACAAACAAAGAGACAACCTAGCTTGCAATATTGACTTAAACACACATTTACTTTTGCCTTGGTACATGTAATGTGTGTTTGTGGCCTTGTATACAAAAATGGAGGTAGTAATATTTCTTGGCATCATCAAATGTACTAAATCTCTGACCAATGTACGGTGGTTGAGTTTGCATGAATTCTGATTGTCCCTCTTCTTCCTCTTCCTGCATTTCATCATCATTTTCCTCATTCACTTCTGTATTGGTGACGTTTCTTCTATTTGTACATTGCTCGTGCCGGTGCACATAGGCCTGTTGGTTGTCGTTATTGCAACGATGACAAAGCCGTAACAGTGACTTATGTCTACATTGTTCGTGCTTGGCTGGTTGGCCTGCTCGTGGAGCGACCCTCATGGGTGGTCTGAGGTACCCGTAGCAGACGTAGTTGGCACGTTGCTGAGTGTAGTTGAAGCTCCTGCATTTTTTTATCGAGAACGTGTGTAGTCAGTACTTTGAGTGGCAACTTTATATGATCCCCATGGCAACTATAGCTAATACAGTATGGAAACTGCAGTTGATCCCTCAAGGCAACTACGGTTGCCCATGCATGTATGGTGTATTTAATCATGCATGGCAACTGCAATGTTCACCTATGGCAAATGCATTTGATCACACGTGTCAACTATAGTTGTTAAGACATGGCAAATGCATTTGAAAATTGATGGGAAATACAGTTTGAAACAGACATGGCAAATGCAGCTGATAAGTCATGGCAACTGCAATTGAAGAGGCATTTTTTGTAAATATAGTTGATAAGTGATGGCAAATGCAGTTGATCAGAGATGGCAAATGTAGTTTACCACACATGGCAAATGCAGATGATCAGACATGGCAAATGAATTTGATACATGATGCCAAATGCAGTTTGATGTCAACTATAGTTTTTAAGGCACGGGAAATGCAGTTGATAATTCATGGCAAATGTAGCTTGAACAGACATGGCAAATGCAGTTGATAAGACATGGCAACTGTAGTTGAACAGATATTGTAAATGCAGTTGATAGGTGATGGCAATTTCAGTTGATCAGAGATGGCAACTGCAGTTTACCAAACATGGCAAATGCAGTTGATCAGACATGGAAAATGAATTTGACAAGTGATTGGCAAATGCAGTTGATAAGTTATGGCAACTTCAGTTGGTAAGTGATCAGTCATGTAGCAAATACTTTGTGAATATTTTTTGACATATTGTGCATGCGAGCAATTTTTCATGTCTCACCTGCGTAAGATGTTGATGGCAGGACTCCCATTGTGAGTTGGTGCCATGTTCTACATGTCGTTCCTGCATTTTACAAAATTTGTAAGTTTGACAGTTCATTATCCATGTTGCTCTTATCGTTTTTTTGAGTTTAGATATATTTTTTTGGTCTACTTGTTATCGTCACGTTACTTTTTCGCATGATTTTTTGGTACACAATATCTTGATTCGCCGTCAGGTGGTCACCCGGACATGCAGGTGTTGAAGTGTTTGCCAGGACGGCAGGCGTGCGGGCTGACTTGGTGAAACACCAGACAGATCATGCGGCATGACCGACGCAGTTATTGGCGTCCAATAATTAACACATAGATCTTCCTCTTACCACGTAGATAACTTCAACATAATGCATCAATAGGGTGCAGAGTGTACCACACGGGCATGGCTAATTCTTCCCCACCAGTCCCCCGCACAAAAAAAAATATTCCCCTCCAGTCAAGAGGGTTGAAAAAAAGGACCATGTCACCGAAAAAAAATCAAGGAAAGATGCCAAAGCCGCTGCACCAAGATCCATTGATTGACACACCAACTGTTGAAATCCAAAAGGAGGCAACAGACCAGTCGCCAGCGTTCGGATCAAACATTGTCAAGATAAGGAGGCTAAAAAGACCTTATTCCAACGCATCACGGCCGTTACCAGGGAACGCTACCGTACTACTCCCTCTGTTCCGTATTACTTGTCACAGGTATGGATGTATCTAAATGTACTTTAGTTCTAGATACATCCATTTCTGCGACGAGTAATTTGGAACGGAGGGAGTTGAACTAAGAGAAACAGAAGATTCAGTTGTTTCAGAAATACTTGTACTACCTCCAATCCATATTAATTGTCCTGCTTTAGTCCAACTTTGTACTAAAGTTATACTAAATCAACGGCAACTGACATGGATCGAAGAGAGTACAGACAAACATAAATCCAACACCAACCAATTCACCAATAAAATTTATCCTTCAGTACCTTTTGTTATCAAAATATTTATTCAATTAAGCATTTAACTACAGGCCAACAGTTCATGTGCTGCCTCCAGTGCATCTCGCAATTTCAGCCAGAGTAAACTATGCACACAGCGCATGCTACTGGTAAATTTGTGCGAAATGGATCTATTTGTTCCATGGATCTTGAACATATGGAATACAGAAACTGAAGTACATGGTCAGCTTTAGAACATTGCTCGACCCAAAATTACTGAAGTAAAAGTAAACTGCCAAACTCACTGGACAGATAGAGATATAAGAATCCAAACTGAAGGTGGTGATAAGAAAAGCTTATTGGGCAGGAGTAGGACTGGGGGGCGCCAGCTCTGGAGGGACCTCTCGAGTGACACTAAGCATGGAATCGTGTTCATCGCCCTCGTGAGCAAATTTCTTGCGCAGCACTTTCTCAAAATCAATCTTTTCCAAGGGTTTAGCATTCTCAACAGCATGTGCCTTGGCTAAGTTGGAATAGTTGGCAGCTGATTCCGCAATAAAAGCGATCTCCTCGTCTGTGAGCTTCCTCAGAAATTTTGCAGGGTTTCCACCCCATACCTAAATTGAACAGAGATAGTCAACAACAGAGCACTTGCTGAGATAAGATTATCAAACAAGAGTTATGAAGCATTTTTTTTGTTTCATCCATGCATAAATGCATGGCATCAAAGTCACTGAAAAATGCAATTACCCCCAAAAAAAGCATCATGAAGCATGTCACAATATCTAGTAGTGTCAAAAAGGGTTTTTTGTATCTAAGAAAATGGGGTCTTCTCTTAACACATGCTAATCCAGATTCAGACATACCTTATCATAAATAACCGGTAGTTAATTAAAACCAGATGAGCAAACGTGTCTGAGATGACCTAAATAAGAATCCAAACAATAGTGGTCAAGTAAAGCACAACCTCTCCACAAGGGATCCTCGTGTTCTGTCTTACAAGGGCTCCAGCAGCAACCATCCCATGCTTTTCCACAACAACACCATCTAACAGGGTAGCTCCCATACCAACAAAAGCTTCATCCTCAACAGTGCATCCTTGTAATACAGCACTATGCCCTGCGAAACAAAGTTTGGAATATATATGTTATCCGAATTATCAGTGAATATTTTACACGAGAATGAAGGTCCTAAATAGCAGATAACTGGTTGGTGTCAGATTGGTTTTGGCATTTCAGATAGTGAGCAAGATGAGAGGCAATGGTTGGTGTCAGATTGGTTTAAATTTCCAATACAAATGTTTATTGATGGTGCATATCCTCTGACAAATGTATGTCATGCTAACTCTACCAAGGTTTTACACAAAAGCTCATGAAGGGCACATGGGGGCTTTGGCTATGGCATCAGGAATCAAGAAGGAGAAGATGTCTTAAGCTTTGCTCTAGCCTACGACATGATTGTAGCTAACACCCTCTTCAAAAAGAGAGAATCACATCTGGTGACTTTTAGTAGTGGCCAACACTCCAGCCAGATTGATTTCATCCTCTCGAGAAGAGAAGATAGGCGTGCGTGCCTAGATTGTAAGGTGATACCTGGAGAGAGTGTTGTCGCTCAGCATAAGCTGGTGGTTGCTGACTTCCGCTTTCGGATTCGTGTCCAGCGGGATAAGCGTGCGAAAGTCGCTAGAACAAAGTGGTGGAAGCTCAAGGGGGAGGTAGCTCGGGTGTTCAAGGAAAGGGTCATTAAGGAGGGCCCTTGGGAGGAAGGAGGGGATGCGAACAATGTGTGGATGAAGATGGCGACTTGCATCCGTAAGGTGGCCTCGAAGGAGTTTGGAGTGTCCAGGGGAAGGAGAAGCGAAGCTAAGGATACCTGGTGGTGGAATGATGATGTCCAGAAGGTGATTAAGGAGAAGAAAGATTGTTTCAGGCGCCTGTACCTGGATAGGAGTGCAGACAACATAGAGAAGTACAAGATGGCAAGGAAGGCCGCAAAGCGAGCTGTCGGTGAAGCAAGGGGTCGGGCGTATGAGGACCTCTACTGCCGGTTAGGCACGAAGGAAGGCGAAAGGGACATCTATAAGATGGCCAAGATCCGAGAGAGGAAGACGAGGGATGTTGGCCAAGTCAAATGCATTAAGGATGGAGCAGACCAACTCCTGGTGAAGGACGAGGAGATTAAGCATAGATGGCGGGAGTACTTCGACAAGTTGTTCAATGAGGAGAATGATAGTTCTACCATTGAACTGGACAACTCCTTTGATGAGACCAGCATGCGTTTTGTGCGGCGAATCCAGGAATCTGAGGTCAAGGAGGCTTTAAAAAGGATGAAAGGAGGCAAGGCGATGGGCCCTGATTGTATCCCCATTGAGGTGTGAAAAGGCCTTGGGGACATAGCGATAGTATGGCTAACCAAGCTTTCCAACCTCATTTTCCGGGCAAACAAGATGCCAGAAGAATGGAGATGGAGTATATTAGTACCAATCTTCAAGAACAAGGGGGGTGTTCGGAGTTGTACTAATTAGTAATTACCGTGGAATTAAGTTGATGAGCCATACAATGAAGCTATGGGAGAGAGTCATTGAGCACCACTTAAGAAGAATGACAAGCGTGACCAAAAATCAGTTTGGTTTCATGCCTGGGATGTCGGCCATGGAAGCCATTTTCTTGGTACGACAACTTATGGAGAGATACAGGGAACAAAAGAAGGACTTGCATATGGTGTTCATTGACTTGGAGAAGGCCTATGGAGACAAACAAAGTCCAAGCAAAGTACACTACCCTCATCAAGGACATGTACGTTAATGTTGTGACAAGTATTCGAACAAATGATGTCGACACTGATGACTTCCCGATTAAAATAGGACTGCATCAGGGGTCAGCTTTGAGCCCTTATCTTTTTGCCTTGGTGATGGATGAGGTCACAAGAGATATACAACGAGATATCCCATGGTGTATGCTCTTTGCGGATGATGTGGTGCTAGTTGACGATAATCAGACGGGAGTAAATAGGAAGTTAGAGTTATGGAGACAAACCTTGGAATCGAAAGGATTTAGGCTTAGTAGAACTAAAACCGAGTACATGATGTGCGGTTTCGGTACTACTAGGCGCGAGGAGGAGGAGGTTACCCTTGATGGGCATATGGGTCAATGCTGCAGAAGGATGGGGGTATTGATGAAGATGTGAACCATTGAATCAAAGTCGGATGGATGAAGTGGCGCCAAGCTTCTGGCATCCTCTATGATAAAAGAGTGCCACAAAAGCTAAAAGGCAAGTTCTACAGGACAGCGGTTCGACCCACAATGTTGTATGGCGCGGAGTGTTGGCCGACTAGAAGGCGACATGTTCAGCAATTAGGTGTGGCGAAGATGCGTATGTTGAGATGGATGTGTGGCCACACGAGGAAGGATCGAGTCCGGAATGATGGGGTAGCACCAATTGAAGAGAAGCTTGTTCAACATGGTCTGAGATGGTTTGGGCATATTTAGCGCAGGCCTCCAGAAGCTCCAGTGCATAGCGGACGGCTCAAGCATGCGGAGAATGTCAAGAGAGGTCGGGGTAGACCAAATTTGACATGGGAGGAGTCTGTAAAGAGAGATGTGAAGGATTGGAGTATCACCAAAGAACTAGCTATGGACAGGGGTGCGTGGAAGCTTGCTATCCATGTGCCCGAACCATGAATTGGTCGCGAGATCTTATGGGTTTCACCTCTAGCCTACCCCAACTTGTTTGGGATTAAAGGCTTTGTTGTTGTTGTTGATGTTGTTGCTCAATTGCTCAAACTTGTCTTCAAAATTATCTATACTATTGTGTTGGAACAAAAACAAGGTAGCGGAGTGATATCTGTCTGGTATGTTTGTTTCCAGTTTACTTACCATAGAATTAGGGCTCCAATAACAAAATATTTGTGGATACTGATGAAAAGTAGCACCCCGGAAAAGATCAATAGCAATTTTACTATACTAGACTTTGGTCTAAGCAGATAATGAACAATTGAACATAGTGAGGCTGTGGAATAAATCAGTGGTTAAAACAAGAACCAGAAGGTAAATCTATTTTTACCTACTGTGACATTGTCGCCAATGATAGTTGGAAAGACTTTGCCACTTAGATTAGATTTTGCCACATGCACAACAGAATTATCCTGTATATTGGTCCCAGATCCAACTTGAACGTTATTTGCATCACCTGTAACCAAGTATGTTAAGTAACTTGTAGGAAGCATGACTAACAACTGAAGTCACACACTCACAGTACAGTATGATACATAAGGATATAAATAAACTTGGGAACTACTAGTAAACAATACATAAAATAGAAAAGGTGTTTCCAGCTGTAGATATCAATTCCATGAAAACATTTTCTTCGCAAGAACAAAATTCCATGAAAATATTTGCTTCATGGTAAAAATCATCTTTACTGGTGTCTTGCATCAGCCAGTCAAAGCTTATTTCTTCTCCGGCAGGCACACCTGTCAGTGCACTGCCTGTAACGAAGAGCAAGAACAAAATGCACTAATCAGTTTTCAGTTGTGAGACCCCTTGAGGATAAGTGAGAGCACTAATCTCCCTCACCAATCCCATTCTAATCGATATCCTCTATCATCTCAAGATAAGAGCACAGTGCCTAGGCTGATCTCTGCAGAGTTATGACAGGTGATGCATACCTATGGTGGTGCTGCTACAGCGTGTAGGGTACAACAGTCTGGGCAGCCTCCGACAGAGTGGTATGTCAGTGTTCTTATTTTTTCTATGTGATGCTCACAGTGGTGTTACTTAAACCGGAGGTTCAAGTGCATCGCTCCACTAGCCACATATGCTGGACAGGAACAGACGTATCCTACGACGAAGGTGGGGAGGTATTATTCTCCGTAAAACATCGCTGCGGCGTGTCTCCCCATCTTTCAGATGCTGCGACTGTGCTATGTGAGATTTTTTGTTCATCCGCCCATTACTTTCTTGCAGTGAGCACTAGAACTAGTGTTATTCCTATCCATGGTCTTCAATTCTTAGTTAGATCTTACTTGTACATGTTTAAAAATTCCCAAAAGTGTTAACGATTTGTCATCCTGCTGAAAATTTCTTAGTTGTTGTGTTAGTAGCTGTGAACATAAATTATTGTAGTGCTACCGCCCCCTGCTAGTTAGATGCACACGCATTCATCTAACTAGTGATAGACACGGTGACATTCTAGTAAAGAACTCAAGTGTTTTATTAAGCTACCAGCACGAGGGAAATGATTCGGAAGATAACAGATCATATAGCAGCTTTATTAACTACTTCCTCAGTCTGGGTTTATAAGCCCCCTTGTATTGGGGTCAAAATTTGACCATAGAATTGACTACCAAAATCAATGGTCAACATAACACCTATTCCCCGCATTTATTGCCCAGCCAATTAATCAGGCCGTCAGACCGAGTAATCCAGGGAGCAGCGATTAATTGGGCTGCTGTGCATATCTGCAGTCGCCCCACATATTAGGGCTAGGGAAATTGCGGCTCCAGCTCCCCTCTCCGGCTCA